TGCGCCTTATCACGGTGTGCGTGGGCACGCACGTGGATGTGGTGTACACAGGGGCGACTCCCAACTGTGTTAAAGGGAGCGTCCCAAAAAACGTGTGCACAACCTATGTGCTGGGAAGGAATGTACCATAAACAATGAAATATTTTTTGTATTGGGAGAAAAGGGAAAAATTGTAACAGAAGATGTTGTGTTTGTTTTGGATTTCTGTTGTACTGAATATTATATTTATAAATAAATATATATTTTCAAAAAAAAGCAATGCACACATGACAATTTTACAGCACTTTGGTTTATATTACATTTCACCCACAAATATATGTTAATTCACTTTACAGTAATTTCTGTGAAGCACTTTAAGACATCCAGAAGACGTGAAAAGCGCTATATCAAATGCAAGGATTATTATTATTATTAGTTAGTGATCAGGAGCAGGAATCTTTGTGTTTTAAGAAAAAAAATGTTTCTTTCCAGACCAAAAGATACAAAAAAGTAATATTATAGAGAGCTAGAAATGATGATGTCAGTTATTAGTCATATCTTCAGATAAAAACATTTGGAACGTACAAGAGCAGAAACGACATATGATCCAGATTTGGTTACATTCAGAGGTTATTGGGTCACTGAAAAAAACTTACAGAAAACTTGGGCTTCAAAAGGAAGGCTATTTGAGAATTTGCCAAATTCTGGATGTTCTGAATTGTTAAGAAAATAGAGTAAATCTCGACTGGTAGAATTTCTATCTCTATATGCTAAGAAAATTAAAAGATCCTTAGTAAATCTTACAAAAGAAAGTGCTACTTATTTGAAGTAGTGTCTTGTAGTTTAGTGGTTAGAGCACTCGCCTTGCAAGAGAGAGGACTTGGGTTTGGTTCCAGGGCAGGGCGAAACGTTGGCCATGTTTCCTTATTCCACACACCTCTGTTTACCTAGCAGTAATTAGGAACCCGTTTGTTAGTTGATTGGCGGATCACTTTTCTGGGAGAAATAACCCCTTAAAAACATTTTTTTTACAAAAATTAGTAATTTGGTCATGTAATCCATGACTGTTTGTGGGACACTACTATGCACAATTAGCTGCCGTGTTTCGCCCACAAAATCTACAGTCCATTCACTTTACAGTATATTCTGTGAAGCGCTTTGAGACGTCTTGAAGATGTAATAAGGCACTATATCAATGCAATGATTATTATTGAACTTCCCTTGTCTACTTTATCTGTTATTACTTCAAAGAATTCAGTAAAGTTGGTCAACTATATTCTCTTCATAAATCCGCACTGGCTGCTTTTAATTACATTCTCGTTGGGTTGTTTAGTTATTTCATCGTTTGTTATAGAATTTAATACACTAAACTAACTGGTCTGTAGTTTCCTCGATTATCTCTAACTCCTTTCTTTAAAAAAAGGAAATACATTCACCATCCACCCTCTGTACTAAAGAGGGGGAAGCAGCTGCAGGGAGGGAGGCCTCAAGCCTATATTGATCTGTTGCTGAGCATCCTTGAGATGGAGTTGGCTTTGTAGTGGCCACATCTATCTATATGGAAAAACCCCTCACTTGAAGACCTGGATTAAGCAGCTGGTACGTGACATTGAACTTGGATCTCGAGAACATCAAGGTGTCTGGCACGTCACAAGTTGTCCGATAAAAGTCCTCCCACCACGCTGAAGGTAGATGTCCATCAGATAGCTGATAAGGAAGCTTGTGATGACAGCAACTACAAGGCGGTACCTGAAATCCAAGTTCATGAACACACGTTTATACATCCAGCGCCTTTGTTTAGTTTGCAGAGAGGTAAGCAGCTGCTGCTCAAGCTCCACACCTCCAACTGGTGGAACCATTACTCAATGGGTAGGAAGATGGTGGCAATGCTCTCACGTATTTTATGCTGAGCTATGCTGCTCAGCAGTTATACAGTTTTAGTTGGTTTGCTGGTACTCTGACACTCACTCTGGGTTCCAAAGCCTTTGTTGTTGCCAATCGGTGCCTAATACTCTCACAAATTAGGTAAACAGGATGTGTCCCTCCAGGATGAGAGCGCACATTTCCATTTCCAGACATGGAAATTTCTTTGTGTAGGTGGCAAAAATAGAGCTCTCAGTCTGGTTTGGATACTCCTAAGCATGGTGATGAGTATCTGCATGTGTCAAACACCAGGCTGATGTAAAAAAGAATTGCCACACTCTACTTCTCTTCCATGGTTCCTTTCTCTACTGAGTTCTTAAATATATTATTGGTGCCTCAGCTATCTTGTCCCTATAGTCATAAGGATTCTTGGCTGTAGTACATCGGGACCTCGTGTTTTATCCTTTTTGTCTAATTTATCATTCCAAGACGCAGTCCGGCGTGAAGGGCGCTATGTAAATGCAAGTTATTGTTTTTGTCTAATTTAATGACAGTAATAACTGAAATTGTATGCAAAAGTGACAAATTTGTTTGTGCTTAGCCTTAACAAACATTGTGAAAATAAAATTAATTCAGTTGAGGATCATACTTTATGTTGATCAAGGAAGAACTTTTAAGTACAGAAAAACTATGTTTTATTCCCTTCTACACAGAATACTTCTTTCTTCAGTTGAGAGTCCACTTTCTAAAAATGCTATTAAGATTTTCAAAAATATTAAAGCATATAATATAAAACAAGACGGCATGGGTTTAGAATTGTAAAGGGCAATTTCATGATAGAATCATTATACAGCACAGAAGGACTCCATTCAGCCTATCGTGTCTGTGTCGGCTCTTTAAAAAGAGCTATCCAATTCAATCCCATTCCCCTGCCCTCTCCCCATAGTCCTGCAAACTTGTCCTCCCCAAATAATTATCTACTTCTCTCTTAAAAGTTGTTATCAAATCGTCTTCCACCACCCTTTCAGGCAATGTATTCCAGATCTGAACAGCTCGCCGTGTGAAAAAATTTCTCCTCACCTCCCCTCTGTTTCTTTTAACAACTATTGTAAATTGGTGCCCTCGGGTTACCAACCCACCCACCAGTGGAAATAGTTTCTCTTTTTTCACCCTATCAAATCCCTTCCTAATTTTGAAAACATCTGTTAAGTCTCCTCTTTAACTTCTCTGCTCCAAGGAGAATAATCCCAGTTTCTCTCGCCTCTCCTGATAACTGAAGTTCCTCATTCCTGGTACCATCCTGGTAAATCTCCTTTGCATCCTCTCTAATGCTTTGACATACTTCCTAAAATGTGGTGCCCAGAACTGAACACAGTGCTCTAGCTGAGGCCTAACAGTGTTTTATAAAGGTTCATTATGACTTTTGTATTCTATGCCCCTATTTATAAAACCTAGTATCCCGTATGTTCTTTTAACAGATTTTAACCTGTTTGTACTCAAGAGGGAAATCATTGACTGGAACAGGTTGCCGGGAAAGGTGGTAGAGACCCTTGATGGGAGGGACAGTAGGGTGAGTGTTCTGGAGAGAATGAGATTGGATGGGCCAAAGGATCGGTCTTTTTCATGCAGACCAATTTTGTGCCACATGGACCTCAGAACTAGAAATAAGATGTGTTTGAAATCCATTCCTATAAAGTTTTTTTTTTCTGAATTGCAAATTGTAGAGCACGCTTTCAAAATGAAGTGAGGGCATGATGAGAAACCACTTTATAATAATCCGAGCATTTTATATGGCTCCTTAAAATGTCCTCGAGATGTCTCAAAGCGCTTCGCAGAATATACCGCAGAGTGAATCGACTGCACGTTTTGTGGGTGAAAGGCGGCAGCCAATTGCCAACCCGCAAGCAGTCGCGGATTGAGCGACGGCATTTTTTTTCTACAGGTTTATAGGTCGTCTCATTGCCCACACACTGTGGAACTCGCTTCAGTTTATGTTAACTCAGTAGCGCCCATTCAAAAGAGGAACGCAAGAGATACAGAATGACTTCCAAGATCCTGGTGGTGACGTTCACAGCCTATTCCAGTCCACGCCCTTGCCTCACCCCCCAGCGCTATTCCCGCAGTCAGTCCTCCCGAGTGGAGATCGAAACAAAAGGAATAAAGCGCATTTCATTGTCTGCGGTTCGCGTGCGCTGCCGTTCCCTCCAGTTCGTGGCCCTGCGGCTCGAGGAACACGATTGCAATCTTTAAACACAACCCCTATTTGTGCGATTTTAAAAAAAAAAAAACCCCATAGGAATGAATTGATGCGAACAGATGGAACAGTAAATAAAGGCACTGGGGGAGGAGGGGGGGGGGGGGGGATGCAGACCCCGACGCGCTGCCCCGCCTGCAGGGCACATGCTGCCCCGGGAGGCGCGCGGCCGCCACCCGCCACCCGCCCCCCGCGAGACAAAGGCGGCGCCTGACTGTCACTCAGCAATGTGGGCGGCTTCACGCTCAATTGGGCGGGTTGTTGTTGTTGTTGTTGCTGCTGCTGTCGTCACTGTGCGGCAAACGCGGCCGATTCCTAAGTTGTTCGATTTTAAACCCCCAATGCCTTTTCCTTGAGACACACGGCGTCCCGTCCCGTCCGTCACGCACTGAGAGACCCCGAATCCGCCACTCTGCTGCCCCGGCGGAGGCGACACGGGGCGTTGGGGCTACTTTTGGGGGCGGGCGGGCGGGCGGGCGGCCTTGGGGGGGCTCCGAACGTGTTAATTTCTGGCAAACCCCTGACAGTGTGTAACATGGCGATCGTGCGTTTCGCCCCCTTTTCCCGGGTGGGTGGGTGGGGGGGTCTCTCCCCTCCCCTGAGCTCCTTCTCCTCCCCCCACAAAAAAGGCCCCGGGGGCGGCCGCTGGGCCCTCGGGTGAGATGGCGCCGCGGGTTCAGCTTCGGCCAGAGATTAAAATACCGTTGGTGGCCGCAGACCCATTAACCGCCGGTCCACAAGTGTCCGCTCGTGTCACTCCTCACCGCCCGCAAACAGCCGCGCGCTTCAGCGGTGTCAGAACAACGCCCCAACGTGACGGTGGCGGGACTATTTGCTGGTGGTGGTGGTGGTGTTGGGCATATGGGCGAGGAGGTGCATGTGGCGGTGTGAGACGGCGCGCGGGGTGGTGTGCGGGATATAGTTCCGGCGGGGGTCGCTCTCCTCCATCTTGTGGTGAGGCGCGGCGCCGCCCGCAGACACACTCACACACACTCACACACACAGCGCTCAGCCCCACACACAGCCCCAGCGCCGCACCTCACCGACCCGCGGCCCAGCACCAGGCTTCCCGCTCACTCGCTCCACGACGACTCAGGACCTAAGGCCGGTGGCGGCTGCTTGTGGTGGTGGTCTCTGCCTTTATCCAGGGAGCGGGGCCGGGGACACGGAGGTCACGTCCAGCAGCTTTAGAGACAGCGAGTGGGGGAGCGGCTCCTGACACAGACCCGCGGATGGCGCTGAAGCGGATTAACAAGGTAACCGGGAAGGGGGGGGGGGGTGTGTGGGGAGAGCGCGAGGCTTTGTGCGGCCTCTAGGCCGCTCTCTCTCTCTCTCTCTCGGGGCAATGAGAGAGGGAGAGGAGGTCTGCTCCAGGCCGCACTGCCATCCGCTTCCTTTCTAACGTGAGTTCGGCGCCTGGCCCGACCACAGGCCGCAACCCACAGAAGGAGCCGCCGGCGACCCCTCTCTCTCTGTCTGTCTGTCTGTCCCGGGGGGGAGGGGGAGGGTTAATCCACGGCCCCCGGGAAGGTTTATAAATCCCAACCCGCTGCCCGGCTACTGCAATGTCTCCCCTCCCACTTTCCTTCTTCCTCCCTCCCCCCCCCCCCTCCTCCCTGTCGTCTTGTTTCCTATCGTCTCCGCAGTAGAAGATGGCGGCGGCCCGGGCCCTGCAGCTCCCACCCAGCACAGCGGATGTGTGTCCGTGACCGTGCGGCGGCCGCTGAAAGCAAACCGTCAGCACATTATGTACATAGTTTGTGCGGCACCAGGCACCAGGCAGCTGCAGCTCCAGCTCCGCACCCAGCCCAGGGGCAGTGCAGGGCACCCTACCCTCAACATGCTGAGGAGGAGGAGGAGGAGGGGAAATGTCTCAACATGGGAAACCCACAAGGTGGATTGGAAGGATATGTGTGTTGTTTTACCAGCAACCAGGGTGGAGCAGCGTGCGAGGAAAATTGGTAATGAGCTGGAACAGGAGAAGACCAGGCTGAGATGTTTGTGCAAGATTGTGATTCAGCCAAAGATTATTCCATCCCTTTTTCCAATGGGTGATTGCTTTTCTTGTTAGTGGGTGAGGCATTGGGAGAACATTGGGGGAAGAATCTGCTTTCCTCTTCTGTGGGAAATGAACTGAAATACAGCTATTTTCCTCAGCAGTGTTCTGATTACCATTTGGTATATTTGAGCTTAATTTACTTGAAAGGTCAGTTACTTGAAGGGCTTATAGTAATAGGTGGTAGTTGTATTTATTTTTTGTTTTACCTGGAATTCTGACTTTACACTTTCATTGACCCGGCAAAGAACTCGACTGCCATCTGAAAATAAACTTCCTGTAATGTCAGTGCAGAAGTGCAAGGTTCAAATTCTGAAGTTGATAACTTGAGCTTTCAAATAACTTTTTGAAAGTTAATTTCTCTTGATGTCAAGCAAACTGCAGTTGAACTAGATTTAATAAGTGAGTGTTTTTCTATTTTAAAAAAAACTCATTTTAGAAAAAGATTTGGCATCTTTTTCCTACATCACTTGTAAATTTGGGGAAGGATGTCTTGCCAATCTGCTTGTAATACTTTTCTTCCCACATCCCCCCCAGCCCTCCTGAAGGTATTTATTTCTTATTTCCAGGTTATCATCTTGTGCGCTCGTGTGAGCCTTGAGAGTCTCAGCATGCTATTTAACTATCCAGTTCTGTCCTTGTCCAGCAACCACATATGAGCTTTGGCTATTTTTTTTCTTTCTCTCCCTAATCTGGGGCCTTGAAGCCATTTGTATTGCCCCAACTGTTCTGATTGAGATGAACTAACTCGGAGTTCAGCAGGACTCAAGCCTGTAAACTTCTGTTTTTTATGGCTCGTGCTAACTGGGTCATTGTCTGTTGTAAATTTGACAGACGAATGTAATCCTGGAATTTAGTGTTCTCTTTTTCAATATAGTCCTTCATATGTACCCATTACCTAAATCTGTTTTCTAGGTTGGTTTATATCATTATTTTGAGAGAGCTCTGTACAGATGTCTCCATGTCTGAATAAATATCCATTTAGCCATTTTTGGTAAATATAAAAGTTATGGTACAAATGCCTGAAATACTGAACAAGTTTTGAAATTATTCATTAGGTTAAGATTACGGTAGTTTTCTCCCCAGAAAATTGGCATTAGTGATGTATGATCTTATTTGAATAAACGATCCAATCTTCAACATGATTTCATTCTTATTTGGTTGATTGGCATATATAAATAATATTTATACAATCACTCAAATATGTTATGGAAAGTTCACCTTGTACTAATTTGTGTTTTGCCTGTTTTATCAAATTCTGTTCATGGCTCAGTGCTATGTCAATGGTATTTAATTCAAATACACTAATTAGTAGAAGGAGGAAGGAAATAATATTGAGAATTAAAAAAGCCAAACATTTAGGAAATGCTGTATTTGTAATTGAGTTTATATGATGATGCTTGGTTGAGGAGATCATGTATAATAATAGTGAATAGAAACGGTGAGTGGAATATGATTGGAATTCTGTGTATGATTTGGGTATCTGATCTAGACAAAATATAGACCTATAGCAAATTTTAAAGGAAGTGATTTTTTTTGGAGTTCTTAAATGTTTATTAAATTGAGGATAGCCAATGACAAAATGTTTGCCAATTATAGTGAGTTGGTTATGGTGAAGGAGTTGATTTGATGTAGCTGATGGTTATTTGTACTTAAAACTTTTGAAATCCTGCGAAGAGCTTTGAGACATCCGTTGTGATAAGGTGGTCTACGAAATGCAAGGCTTATCATATTCTGTCAATTACTGGTGTTTGTTTTTCTGATGCATGAAACTGGAAATCTAAATTGTTTTTAAATTTTAAATCTAGGAACTCCTAGATTTTGCTCGTGATCCTCCAGCACAGTGTTCTGCAGGTCCAGTTGGAGATGACCGTGAGTGTTTTAAATGAAATGGTACACTTAAACTTTTTAAAATGGAATGTCCTTTTTCTGCAACTGATTATACAATGTATTCATTCTTTCTCATTTAACTCAATGTGCACGATGGAAATTGCAATCATTCCATGTGAGAAACAGCTAGGATAATTTAAAACAACTTGTCATTATTGGACAAAGGGATTTTCACCATTGCATTATTCACAGGTCTTGATTTTTATTCCACGTACAATTTGCTTACAATAAAAGTTCTCATCTTTTACATTTCAACACAGTTTGGTAGCTGTTTGAGATTTGTTAAAGCATTGAAAGCTTTAATTATCTTCCAAGAAGAGGTGCACAGTTAAGAATGTTACATTAGCAGTTACGTATTTACCATGTGTTTCAGTTTTAGCCTATTCAGCCCATCTTCAGATAGAACTCGGATTGGCCCTGGCACAAGCCATAGTTGATGAATGACTGGCATTTATTTATACTATCTAGACTTTCCTTTTCAACTCCTGTTCATCTCCCCTTCTCCCTTGCTGGTTCTAAGTGAAGGGCCATATATAAATGCAAGTTGTTGTTCAATGCCATGATTCCTTTCTAGTTATGTAAATCATTCACCTTATTTTAATTGCGATTCATATCAGATGGTTGAGGTGCCACAATCTGGCCCAGGTTGAAATTATTATGCAGTGAATTTAAGAAAGGCACCTGTTGAGCATAGTAATAGTTTCTCTCCCAAGATTGGAGAGAAGTATTTTGGTCTTCTGTTGGACACCTATTTGCTTTGACTAATATAAGTTGCCTAATTTTGGAATTTGATGCCGTAGCTTGCTCAAAATGACTTCTGGAATTTTAATTTTGCCTCCTTAAATCGATATGGCATAAATTGTGTTGAACAGTTATCAGCTTGGCTTAGTTGGTATTCCATTTACCTGTGCATTAGAAAGTTGAAGCTTCATGTCTACCTGAACTCAAGCTGAAACTCCAGTGTAGTACTAGAGAAATGCTGCATTGTTAAGAGGTGCTAGTTTTGAAATTAAACCAAGGTCCAAGCTTCCTACTATATGAGGTGAATCTTTAAGATCACAGATGACAAATACCCTTTAGCCCCATGTCAATATTTTCAGGATATCCAACGTAGTGATCTCCTATTAAGCATCAAACATAATTTACTTTGAGTAGCATTCCTGTGGGTTGCCTGGAATTCTAACAGGAATCCCTTTAAGAAATGCATTTGATTAGACCCCAATATTTCTAAAATTTGAAAAATGCCCCTATGTGGAATTGGCTGCTGCGTTTCAGCCATACAATATACAGTTAATTCACTTTACAGTAAATTCTTTGAAGAGCTTTGAGACATCTTGAAAACGTGATAAGGTGCTTTATCAAATACCAGGATTATTATTATTTAGGTATTAAGCTGAATGTCCTTTTAAAAGATTTAGTTTATACTTTTTTTAAAAGCTATTCTAGCGATGCTCCCAAGACTCACCATACCCGGTATAGACCGTAGTTCTGCTTTTTAGTCAAGAAGATAGGATCACAAGGTTTCACACCATCATCCAAATGACCCGATATCGTTGTCCAATCTCTGAATGCCAGTATAAACTCAATTATAGGACGACGGGTTGTGGGAGAATGATCAAGCTTGTATAATCAAAGTACTCATGTTCTTGATCTAAGTTGTACTAGCATTCACTCTCAAGCCTTCAATTTCAAAGTACATTTTGCTCTGTACACAAGACTTCATCTTTCTAGATAGGTGAAACTGATTCTTTTCCTATCAAGGCAATTGTTTTGCTTTGAAATGACATTTAAGCAAAGTATAGTCATACTAACATATTAGCAAATGGTGCAAAATACATATCCTTGTATTGAGTATTTAGGTGAGGTTAAGTTTGTCATACCCATTCTTTGACAACCCCATGGCTATGCTATGACCAATATGTTGCTTGAATCTTTTAAACTAGAAGCACTCTCTTGATCTAGATATTTGGATTTGAAGACCCCATCTTTTTGTCCTCAGTCCTTCAAATTATTCCCATAGATCCTAGAGTTTCAGTATTTTGCATTCATTTGTATGTCTACATGGGACCAACAGAGGTCTTTCAGCCCTTTGAGCCTGTTCTGCCATTCTATTAGATCATGGCTGATCTGTGCCTCAACTCCAAATTCAATGAGGATGTATTCAATGAGGAAGACAGTAGTTTCTCCACTTACACAACTCCTTTTGTCATTCTACTTTTCTTTGGACTATTTTAGTATATTTTTGTTTTTGTTTAATCTCGAGTGTCCTTGCCTCTACTAGTTTTGTGCAGATATGAGGAAAGAGTAGTTGATCAAATTATGGTAAAGTTCTTGAAGTGTATTGTCAGTACTGTTGTGGCTGGAAGGCGACGCCTGTTTTTTGCTCTACTTCGTACTGTGACTGCAAACCTGGATGTTGATTTCAGAAGAGGCTGGGTAGCACCTGCAGCCCAGTGCACTAATGTAGTGTTTTGTCTTTATTCCTGTCGTGTACACTTCACTGAATTTAAGGTAGAGCAGCACATTAAGATTCTAGAATTTTCCTCAGTTGGTTGGTGGAACATGCAATAGTTATTAGTAATTTCACACCGTCGCTTCATTTCATGCTAATTGCCAGTTTTTCTTTTTCTCTTCAGTGTTCCATTGGCAGGCTACGATCATGGGACCTGTAAGTATTTGTTCAAAGTTTGACATACAAATATTTAAAGCTAAGGAGTTGGCAAAATTGACTTTTGTTTCTGCATTACCAGAATGACAGTCCATACCAGGGTGGTGTCTTCTTCTTGACAATTCATTTTCCAACAGACTACCCTTTCAAACCACCCAAGGTAAGTAGTAATTTCTATTATATATATATATAATATCCATGATTTGGTGCATTACTTTATTATTGCTGTAAATTGTTAAATAATCTGTTTTGTCTGTTTGCTCTTCCAGTGCTTCTCCCTCTCCTCACTTGTCCTCTCTTCCCCCAGTTTTCTAATATCTTCCAAAAGTGTTCATTTATGTTGAGATATGACTCAATGGATGCTAGCTTCTCTCTGGTAATGTCCAAGAGATCTTAATTTGTGAGTCCAGAGATGAGTGCTAGGAATCTATATAATGAAGGTAGGCAGCACAGCCAAGCCCAATCTTATACTGACCCAATGTTCACACGGAAGCATTCTACCTTGCTTCAACTCCCAAGGGGTTTTTAAGTCAACTGGAATACCTTTCTCCTGGAATGGTTGTGACCTGTTAACGCAATGCAGACTGGGAATTGAACCTAGCCCCTCTGGTGGTCTGCTTGTGATAAACTGGATTTATTGCTGAATTTTCAGAAATGAAAGTTAACTTTCTACCTTCTCGATCCCCAATCCCTCCCAAACTCTAGAAGAGTATCCCCCGTTCAATATTATGTATAATTTTAAAAATATATATTTGTATTCATAAAAATGATGGAGTAATGACATTTTGGACATCTGCCCATCGACTAAGCGGTTGCATGCATACCATAGTTACTCTAATTACTTTAAGGGGAAGTTGTTTTGACAGATCCATAGCTATGTAACCCTGGACAACTGCAGTACCAGTTTAGTGCACATTTCTGAAGTTAAGTGGCTAGTCCCAGTCACTGATGTCATTTGAGTGGCTAACATTAGAAGACTCAATTGGCATCTTTATTGGAGGATGTTTTGACAACTTGGTACACTATTCTGAGAGGTAGGGGGAAATCTTGTCATTTGAACAAGATAACTAGGTTGACCTTTGCAAGAGTGCTTCGTGAACCTCTCTTTGGATTCCCCAAAAAGCAGGTGTGTTTTATGATGAAGTTGAGGTCAATATGATCAGTCTGGAAAAAGTCCCAATAATGGTTTTTAGGACTATTCCTGATCTGGAAAAGGACCTAACGCTAGATGATGGAATGTTCCCAAGGATCCATGGTTTGCATTCTCGTTTCTTTTTTTTAAAAAAAACTGATGGGATTTATTGTAGCTGTAGAAAGGGACGAGACTCTAGAGGGCCCGACAACAGAATCGATCTGGTTAGAGGTCAGAAATAGGAAAGGAGTGGTTACACTGATAGGGGTTTACTATAGACCACCAGATAGCGGGAAGGAGATAGAAGAGCAGATCTGCAACCAGATCACGGACAGATGTAAGGCGAACAGAGTTGTCGTAATGGGGGATTTCAATTATCCCAATATAGATTGGCAAAATAGCAGCGTTAAGGGCAAGGCAGGAGAAAGATTCATCAACTGTGTACAGGAAAATTTTCTTGAGCAGTATGTCTCCAGTCCTACAAGGAAGGAAGCATTGCTGGATCTCGTCCTAGGGAATGAAGTAGGTCAGGTTGAACAGGTTTCGGTAGGGGAGCATCTAGGTAACAGTGACCATAATATTAGATTTAGATTACTCATGAACAAGAACAAAGTACAGTCAAGGGTGAAAATGCTTGACTGGAAAAGAGCTAATTTTGATTGGCTAAAAAGGGACCTAGAGTTGGTGGACTGGCAAGTAAGAATGGCAGGTAAAATGACTTATGAGCAATGGGAGATCTTCAAAGATATGATAGCTCAAGGTCTAAATAGATACATTCCCACAAAAGGGAAATGTGCGAGAACCAAGGCCAGCCTGGATAACCAGGGATATTCTGTCTAGGATGAAAAAGAAGAAGATGGCGTACGACAATTGGCGGATTCAAGACACTGAGGATAGCAAAGCGCATTATAGCGAATGTAGGAGTGATCTTAAAAGAGCGATAAGACAGGCTAAAAGATCGCATGAGAAGAGGTTAGCGGGTAACAAAGGGGAATCCTAAAATATTTTATAAGCACATAAAGGAAAAAAGGTTAGTTAAAGGTAGGGTGGGGCCAATCAAAGACAATGATGGCAATCTTGTTGTGGAGACAGAGGGTTTGGCTGATATACTAAACGAGTACTTTGCATCTGTCTTCACAACGGAAACGGATGCCCCAAATGCCACAGTATTGGATGTCAGGGTAGAGGACATAGCTCAGATTACTATAGACAGAGAGGAAGTTCTGAAAAGATTGACTGGGCTCAAAATTGATAAGTCACCAGGACCAGATGGGTTTCACCCAAGGTTGCTGTGGGAGATACGGGTTCAAATAGCGGAGGCTTTGGCCATTATATTTCAATCGTCATTGGACACAGGAGTGGTGCCAAGAGACTGGAGAGTAGCTAATGTTACCCCACTCTACAAAAAGGGCAGAAAGACAAGCCTGGAAATTACAGGCCAGTCAGCCTAACTTCGGTAATAGGAAAGCTACTGGAGACCGTAATCCGGGACAAAATAAAAACACGAGGTAATTAGAGACAGCCAACATGGATTTGTTAAAGGCAAATCTTGCCTAACAAATCTAATAGAATTTTTTGAAGAGGTGACTGCGAGGGTTGATGAGGGAAATGCGGTGGACATTATTTACATGGATTTTAAAAAGGCTTTTGACACAGTACCGCATAAGAGGTTAATAAAAAAACTGGAGGCCCACGGCATTAAGGGGACAGTAGCCATTTGGATTAGGAACTGGCTGAGTGACAGAATGCAGAGGGTGGTGGTTGATGGGTGTTTCTCCCAATGGAAGGAGGTGTACAGCGGTGCCCCCCAGGGATCGGTATTGGGACCATTGCTCTTTCTAATATATATTAATGATCTGGACTTGGAGCACTATTTCCAAGTTTGCAGATGATACCAAGTTAGGTAGGGTAGTAAATAGTGAAGAGGATTGTGAAGGACTGCAGGCAGACATACACAGAATGGTGGAATGGGTTGACATGTGGCAGATGGATTTCAATGTAGATAAGTGCGAGGTCATACACTTAGGTAGGAAAAATGATAGGAGGCAATATAGACTTGGTAGCTCAATCTTAAGGGGGGTGAATGTACAGAGAGATCTGGGCGTTCAAGTAAGCGATTCATTGAAGGTGGCAGAGCAGGTAGATAGGGCAGTAAAAAGGGCATTTGGTGTACTGAGCTTCATTAGTAGGGGCATAGAGTATAAGAGTAGGGAGGCTATGCTTAATCTGTACAAAACACTGGTTAGGCCTCAGCTGGAGTACTGCGTCCAGTTCTGGGCACCTTACTTCAGGAGGGATATTAAGGCACTGGAAAGGGTGCAGAGGAGATTCACGAGAATGATACCAGGAATGGGGAAGCTTAGCTATGAGGACAGGCTGGAAAAGTTAGGACTTTTCCCATTAGAGCAGAGAAGGTTACGTGGGGACCTGATAGAGGTCTTCAAGATCATGAAAGGTTTCGACAGGCTAGATAGGGAAAAGCTGTTTCCGCTGGTAGGTGTGTCTGTGACTCATGGTCACAGTCTTAAGATATCTACCAAAAGAAGCAGAGGGGAGGTTAGAAGAAATTTTTTCACTCAGCGAGTTGTTAGAATTTGGAATGATCTGCCCGAAAGGGCAGTGAAGTCCGATTCGATAACAGCTTTTAAGAGAGAACTGGATAGGTATCTGGAGAAGACAGGTTTGCAGGGTTATGGGGAGAAAGCTGGTGAGTGGGGTTAATAAAAGTCAGTTGCTCTGTCAAAGAGCCGGCACAGACTCGATGGGCCGAATGGCCTCCTTCTGTGCCATAACATTCTATGATTCTAAGATTTATGGCTGAACCTGATGTATTTCAGTCGTAACATTAACATTGGTAAAACTGGCATTGAGTAATTTTTGTTTTTATCCACCTAGGTTCATGAGTCAGTTAGCCTAATGGGAAAATTAGTATTTCTGTTACAAAGGCAAACATGAAATCGATCTCTGCCAGGAGCTTCCAAAAATCCAGTGAGATGAAGACCAGTTTGGGTTTTTAGCACTTTGAGGACCAGGAGGAACTTCTAGTTTTCGAAATAGTTAATCAGGTTTAATATCCACTGAAACATCACAAGAGACATATGGCACCTCACTTTGAAGTCTCAGGACCTCACTACCTCCACCAATGCAGTATTCCTCAGTACGCTGCGGTGTACTGCACTCTTGCATTAGGTTCCACAAGCCTACTGACCCCAACCTTGCACAGCTCCAGAGGATTGAGATCAAGATCCTTGTCCTCACTTTTAAATCCCTTCATGGCCTTGCTCTGTGACTTTTTAAATGCTACCAACTTGCCTGCTCCCTCTGCTCACCTCACCGTTGGCGGTCAGGGCGTCAGCTTTTCCGCCCCCATTCTCTGCATTTCCCTCCATTCGCACCTTCCCTCATCTCCTTCAAGGTCCATCTCAAGACTTTCCTCTTTAACTGTACCTTTGGTCATCTTCCCACCCCTTCCTTGACTGTCCAATTACTGGGAGGTCCTCCAAATGTGAAAGTCACTATATAAATGTAAATTTGTTCTGTTGGCCAAGATTGAGTTCAAAATCTAATTTGATTTAATCTATTGTCATGAATTTGGAAGAGGGGTGAACCTTGTCTGATTCCAAGATACTTCTCTATTCCTTGAGCACTTTGGGTCTTAAAAGAACACCTGGACAGGCAGACAGGACTTTAAAGTCTCATCTGAAGTGATGCAGTGTTCTAAGAGATGTCCTGTGGATGAGCTATCTCATTGATATTTGTGGAATATTATTGTTGCTCGACAGACGAGTTTGCATAATTAACTGATGCATAGAATTAAAGCGTTTGAGACATTTTGACTTAAAGTGAAATACTGAGGCAAATGATAGAAAGTACAATTAAATAACACCAAAATTACATTTGTATAGCGCCTTTCACATCGAGGGGACGTCCCAAGGTGCTGGACAGACAGAGTTACAGACCCGAGGTGGGGGAGGGTGGGGGTCAGGGGGGGAAGCAGGGAGATCGAAAGCATGGTCGAAGAGGAGGGTCTTGAGTTAGGTCTTGAAGGAGGCAAGGGAGGGGGCGAGACGGAGGGACTGGGATGGAGTTCCAGAGGGTGGGTGCAGATTGGTGGAAGGCCCGTCTACCAATAGTGGGGCGCACAAGGCGTGAAGCAAGCCAGAGCAGCTGAGTGGAGGGAGCGAACAGGGTCATTTCTAGTGTGCCTAATAATAATAATCCTTACATTTGATATAGCCCCTTCTCGCGTCTTTGAGATGTCTCAAAAGTGCTTCACAGAATATACTGTAAAGTCAATTGACTATATTTTGTGGGAGAAACGCGGCAGCCAATTACGCAATGATTTCACTCTTGTTGACAGAATACTGAAGTCTCATTTGAGTAAGTGGTAGGCAGTGGGTTTGCTTCCATTGCTGCTTTCTAATAAGATGTAGTCTGACACTCTTGCTTTTAACAAGCGATTTCTCCTAATTTTACTACATGTAGCATTGAATAGTTTGGTGAAGTAAGAGGAAAGGCTCAAAAAATGCATTCAGTGCACCCCTCAGATGTAGTTTAACATGAAATATGTTCAGTTATACACCTTACAAATTCAGCCCACACTTTATTTTTCCCAGCTCAGGGACCTGCAAATCTGCCTGCAGGTTGGGCTGTAATGCTAATTTCTACATAGACTGATGTGGCTCTGGATGTATACAAGAATGTACTGGTAAGCCATCATTGTGTGGCTTCAATTGTGTGTGAAAGGAAAATCAAAATGGCAAACTAACGCAGGAAGACACGTGGGTAATAAAGTTAAAGGCATTGATATTGCATTGAAAGTAATAATTCCCCAGATCTTTTCATTTTAAGATTCATATTCAGGCAGCATAAAGTAACGTCACTAATCATTTGTCAGCTATCGTTTCATTTGTAGATGCTGAAATTGTTCACTTTTGGCCAATATTATTCGATGACCAATGTGATTTCTAACACAGTCTAGGTTAAAAGTTCATCTCTTTCTTTGCCCCTTGCCTGAATTGTCTGATCTTGGTTACTTCCTGTGGGAAGTTACAAAATTACATTTGTAAAGCACCTTTCACATTGGGAGGATGTCCCAAGGCACTGAACAGTCGGTTATCAGGATCCAAGTTTGTGGGGGTGGGGCAGGTTTGGGGTGAGGGATGGCAGAGAGGTATTAGGGCAGCTGAAAGCATGGTTGAAAAGGAGGGTCTTGAAGGAGGCAAGGGAGCAAAGTGAAGGGATTGTGGGATGGAGTTCCAAAGGGTGGGGGCAGAGAGGCTGAAAGCACGGGCGCCGTTGGTAGAGCAGATTGGACGGGAGACAGCCGGAGCCTGCTCAGTGGAGGGAGTTGATAGGGGGTCAGCAGATCAGAGATGTAGGAGGGGGCGAGGCCGTGGCGGGCCTTGAAGGTGAGGACGAGGATTTTTAATTTTATCCTCTGAGGGATGTGGAGCCAGGTGGGGATGATGGGGTCATGGAGCCTGATGCGGGAGAGGACACGAGCTGCAGAGTTCTGGATGATTTGCAGCTTGTGGAGGGAAGAATTGGGAGGCTGATAAGAGGGGAATTTCCTTAGTCGAGCCTTGAGGTGATGTACACACATATGAGGATTTCGGTCTGAGGGGTGAAGCAATGGTGGAGTTGGGCAATGTTGTGGAGGTTGGGGAATGCAGAGCGGGTCTTGGCATGGATATCGGGGAGAAAGTTGAAGGTTGAACAAGATGCCCAGGTTCCTGGCTGGCTTGGTAAGGTGGAGTGTGCATCTGTGGATGCTGATGTTGCCAGTGCCTGAGGTGCGGAGGTGCTGGCACGAGCCAATCCGGAGGGCCTCAGCCTTGCTGACATTTAGCTGTAGAAAGTTGGCTTTCATCCAGAACTTGATGTCTCACAGGACGCCAGTTATCTTGAAATCGAGGGTGGAGGCAGAGAGATAGAGTTGGGCGTCATCCGCATACATGTGGAAGTTGATCCCTTGTCTGCAGATGATGTCACCAAGTGGGAGCATGTAGAGGTTGAAGAGAAGGGGACCAAGGACAGAGCCCTGAGGAACACCACACAGATTGTGCGGGGGCTGAAAGAGAAACCGTTGGCGGAGACAAATTGGAGATGGTGTGAGTCATGAGACCTGAACCATTCAAGGTCAGAACCTTAAAGGTTGAGATGAGAGTAGAGGCGGTGGATGAGGATGGAGTGGTCCATGGTATCAAAGGCAACAGAGAGGTCGAGGAGGCAGAGGACAGGATGTCGTTTGTCACCTTGACCAGAGATTGGAGGGTCTCATGAAGGGAGTGGTAGGAGAGGAATGAGTGAAGCTGGGAAGCAACGACTTTGGAAATAAAAGAGAGGTTGGAGATGGACCGTTAGTTAGAAAAATGGAGAAATTTAACATTCAATGGCTGGCACTCTAAATGTTTTGATATGAACTGCACAATACAGTTACTACATTTTACAGTATACCCTGTGAAGCAGTTTGTTCACAGCTTGAATGACACTGTCAAATACAAAGATTATTATGAATATAGAATACTTTTCCTAATACAGGCTGACCCTGTTGTAACATGCTGCTTTGGGTACATAAAATCAGACCCATGTTATAATGGATATTAAAAATGGCCACCAATCACCTTCTGGGTTGTTGGGTGATCATCAATCTCCCTTCCTGTGTGCAGGAAGCTGGCAACTCTACACATGAGATTTCTAGCAGATTTCCTGGGCACTACTAGATGCTAAAAGCTTTACTGAGCACTATGTGCAGAGGCCAGCCGGTCCTGCTGGTAGTTACTGCCCTTTCATTGTCCACTGATACTGGAAACAGAACCCAGGTGTGTTATGAAAAGTGTTGGCCTGTAGGTGTATTTGCAGCACATTATTTATGGGTTAGCTTTTTCCACATTGTTTCTAGCCTGACTTGTTTTTTTCTTTTTTGCAGGTTGCATTTACTACAAGAATTTATCATCCAAATATTAACAGTAATGGCAGCATCTGTCTTGATATTCTAAGATCACAGTGGTCCCCTGCATTAACTATTTCTAAAGGTATAGTGGAGTTCATATTTAATTTGAGAATGCTCTAAACTTTATGCAAGTCACAAGGCAACAATTTGCACTGCTCAGAAATTTGAAAAACTGACTATTTTTTTGTGTGGGTGAACCTTGAATCTAGTTTTACCAAACTTTGTGGGATGAATGGTAGACTAACGGAGGAAGGCACATGGGTCATAAAGTTAAAGGTATTGACATTGTATTGAAAGTATTTGTTTGGGCAGTGTCAGTCCTGTTCGATTGGTTCCAAGTCACCATAGCAAAACTCAGCAATCTTACTCATAATCTTATTTTTTTAAATCAAATTTTAAGGAATATAGTATTAATGGTGAATTAGTAGTGTGAATGGGATTTACCCACACCTGTGGATGGGTGTTTCTTTGACTAGCAAGATGCAGCAGTGACAAAATTGTTGGGAGTTGCATCGGGTAGGCCATAATTGAGTGTATTGTTTTGCATTCCCCTTTACAAGAAGGATATTAAGTTACAAAGGTGCAGTGTATTCACTAGGTTAATACCAGGTACAAGAGAATATGAAAATAAGAGGGTATTTTTCCCCACATGTTTAGTCAAAGATTACAAAGGGAAACAGTTGTTTATTTAGCTGATGAATCGGTGACCAAGGGGCTACTCTTGAATCTGGGTTTGCCAAGCTTTGTGGGATGAAGGTTTTTTTATGTTGAATGCACAGTTAAGTGACATTTGGTTGGGCAGTGTCAGTCCAGTTCTGATTGGTTCGTAGTCACTGTAGCCAACATAGATAAATGTGCCTTTCCCTCAGAGTATGTTTAAGCAGTAGTGTTGACCTGTTGGTTATTTCTGAAGATTATAGTTTCCTGCTTCTCTTCCAGGAATGTTCTAGTTGCTAATGATTTTACCCTCATTTCATAGATGTATATTTTCTATATTCTTGTTTCTGGAGACAATGTTTTGACTACTGGCATAAATATTCAAGAAATGGGGAAAACTACTAATTGAGATGATACTGTAATATTCATTGTGCCTTTCTTTTGCAGTTCTTTTGTCCATTTGTTCACTCCTATGTGATCCAAACCCTGATGATCCACTAGTGCCAGAGATTGCACGCATCTACAAAACAGATAGGGAAAAGTGAGTATTCTAAAAATGAATCTCAAATTTCCATTTCTTGATTTGCTTGTTTTGTTAAAAAATCACAAAGATTATGTAATCTGCTGATATGTTCAATCTTTTCCTTGTCACTTTTGATTTAAAATGCCATATAAAACAATAATGATTTGAAATAAAGTTACCTAAGATCTTTACTTGATATGTTACTTGCTTTGGTAGGCTTCATCTTGAGAAACATTCTGATGTCATGGGTCACGAACTATTAGCTGTTCTGCCTCAATATCCATTATCTAATCTTTTGTTTCAAATGGTAACACATTCCCTCAACAATCTAGTTGGTCAGGGCAATGTTTGTTGATCTATACCTGTTGGGACAGAAATTGGGTGTATTCTATTTGAGATTTTTTTTTAAAGTGCACAATGTTCACATGTTCAGTTTGAGTTTTAAATCAAACGGGATAACTAATAATAATCCTTGCATTTGATATAGTGCATTTTACGTCTTCTAGATGTCTCAAAGCGCTTCACAGAATACGCTGTAAAGTGAATTGATGACTGTATATTTGTGGGTGAAACCCAGCAGCCAATTGTGCACAGCAGTGTCCCACAAACAGTCATGGATTGAAAATGACCAATTTATTATTTTGTTTTTTGGAGGGATTATTATTAGGCATGTGGAGTAAGGAAACTTGCCCAAGGTTTCACCCTGCCTGGAATTGAACCCAAGTGTCTTGCTTGCAAGGCGAGTGCTCTAACCACAGAGCTACAGGACTCCGTAGTATTAAGTACTGGCCAGCTTACCATCTATCCTGCATATTCACTGATTCCCTCCTTGATGGCAGCTGTTTGTTTTAATTTTTTAAATCCAACCTAATGCTTTATTACTATCCAGTTGACTTGTATCTCTCCCTTCTGACATCGTAGATAAATGTGCTCTTCCCTCAGGATACGTTTAAACCCTACTTTGTCTGCTTAACTCCTTTATCTCTTCCTGTACCCATTTTGGTGGCATTCTTGCCTCTGACTTGGAAGATTGAGGGTGAGTAGGGAGCTCATAGTCTAGGCTGACCGTGGGAGAACCACTGCATTGTTGGAGGTGCAGTCCTCTAGGCGAGGTGCTATCTGCTATTCAAAAAGAGAAAGGTATTTCTCTCAATGCACTGGCTGACAATCCAAATAAAATTAGTCATTCAATTCGTAGCTGTTTGTGGCATAATGATGTACTCAAATTGCCTGCTGTGTTTCACCCACAAAATAGTCACACAATACCACCTTAATCCCTGTGAAGTGCTTTAAGAGGTTTCAACAACATGATCAGGTGCTACATCAAATGCAGGAATGAATTTATTACAGAGGAGTGTTAAGATAAGTGTCCATCAATAGTCTATTGAGGTCTGACAGTCATTAGCATCTGAATCCTTATTGGCTGTTTTTAGTTAGAACTAAACAAAATTAAATCATGTAAATCAAAATCCTTATATTCAAATAATATTTTCTTGTGTTCCATTTAATTGTATGAATTGCCCACAAAATAATATTTGCAACCAACTTCAGAATTCTGTTTTTTGCCCAGTAACGGTTTACAATAAATTTGGAATTTATTGTAAATTGTTATCTGGACTGTCGTCAATACCTTGACGAGCAGATGCCCTTTCTTTGCTTTTGCTAGAATTTATCCTGGCCTTCAATGGTGTTTCATGTTTGAGAAAAACTTTAGGTTTAGTATCAGACATTTTTAGAGCCTAATTTGCACCAGATGCAGAAGCACAGTCTACATGGGCCACTGAGCATTTTTTTTCCCCCAACCCTTGCTGTCTATGTAACCATGCTTTCCACTACCCATACTTATAATAATCCTTGTATTTTGATATAGTGCATGATCACGTTGTGATGTCTCAAAGCGCTTCACAGAATATATTGTACAGTAAATTGACTGAATATTCTGTGGGCAGAACATGGCAGCTAATTCCGTATAGCATTTTTTGTTGAATGGGGGAGGAGGGATTATTACCCTGGAAAGTGATCCGCCAATCGGTTAATAACCAGGTTCCTACTTATTGTTAGGTAAACAGGGGCATGTGGAATCAAGAAACTTGCTTAAGGTTTCACCCTGCTTGGGAATCAAACCCAGGTCCTCTTGCTTATTTTTAATTACCTGCAATTTCCCTGAGGAAAAGAAAGAGTTGTCCCTTTCTTGGAATCTGCAAATTTGGTATTCTGCAGATTCAGTTCTGGTGTTGATATGTTAACATTTACTAGGTAGAATCTTTATAAGGTGTTTAAATTCGGTCTGTGGTCCAAGTTACAGAACCCTTGATCAAACTTCTTTCTCTACTGTGTTAGGTCTTGTTTAAAATATACGTTTAGCACTAAACAAATTTAGTGCCAAACGTATATTTTAACTTGTATTGTTCAAACCTTGGTTGTGCTATGGCTGAAATGTTTTATCAGAGGCCTTTGGAGAGAACAGGTGGTAGTGATGGATTTCAGTTGAGGAGAAGATGGAAGATAGAATCCTTTTCATCCCTCCAACAGACCCTCTAATTAAAGTTAAGATGGATGGGCACATGCTCACAAATCATTCAAGGAGATAGACAGGTGATTACTGGTCTCAGAAGCTTTCATCACCATGTGATGTTTGTTTATGAAGCAGAAGAAAATTCCTGAAGTTCAACCATCTGGATGAAAAGTAGTAAGGAGAGGAAATGGAAATGGGCTTCCATCTTTGCATCCTATACCCTTAGCTCATGTAGAACCTTATTGCAGGTATTATCATCTATCTGATGCTGGAAAGCCTTCAGAAAACTGTCCCAGCCAACAAGCTCCACCTAAAGCCCAACTTTTGGGATGTCTAGTTCTTGAAGCTCACAAGCCGGATGAGATTGATCTTATAATACTAAATCTGAAGGGGTTTGGAATCTGGAAGATTTCCAGTAGTACAGGCAAGGTCGAGCTATTGGGTGTCTTTTCTCAATCTGGAGCAAAATCAGTATGTGTGAGTAGTTGGGAATATTTGTTTTGCTGCAGCATTTTTCATATTGCCACTTAGTCATGTATGATGCTTGTATGATGCTTAACAGTTAACTGGAGCCAATATTGTAGAAGCTACTTCTTTAATTTGGAGTTGGAAGCTGTTGCATCTTTAAACTTGCATTGTCAAGTTGGTTTATTTAGCAGCCTATTCTAGTAATTGATTTTAATTCAGGGACAGAATCTTAGTTGAGGATGATGTGAAGATGCTATACAAATATAATTTGTTGTTGTCATTGAGGAAAGAAATCCACTTCCATAATGAACTAATATATTCATCACTCTTAATAGTCAAACAGATCAGGGTTATTGTGTGTGGTGACACTTGCATCATTTTTAACCCCATTTGGAACCTATGATCAGTTGTAGTCAGATCTGAAATCCCAAGACAATCCTGATTTCCCAGCAAGTGAATAGTGAGAGTCTTTTCCAAAGAGCTCTGAATAACTTCCAAGAAAGTACTTACAAATTTATTGACTATCCTCCTGGGGGAGAAGGGTAAGGGAAGACCAGCAGGGTCTCCTTGGAGCTAAACTGGCTCCAAGTTAATGCGTTTGGCAACCGAATGTTGTATCCGAGTCAACCGTCTGACGATCTCAGTAATCCAGTTCCTGAGCCAGGTAGGTCTGCAGGATTCCAAGTTACTGCTGATGACAGCATGGGCATCAGCAGGACTTGGAGAGGCAGACCAATCTATTTTACTGGGGCAGGGACGCTTCCCATTTATCTCCTGTTTGCCCTGGAAGACAAATCCCTAATGGTAGGGTGGTCCTAGCTGAACAAGCAGTAGGAAAGCTTTTAATGGCAAGCTATGCTGTTTTAGCTGGTTGGACTCCAGCAGCACCCTATTGTACACTCTGGGGTCCCTAAGCCTTGGCTCTCGCAAATGTGTGCCTAATACTGTCTAGAATTGGGTAAGCATAATGCGTTTCTTCAGGGAGTGAGTGCACATTCTAATATTTCTGGAACCTCCATGTATAGGTGGGATGCATGCAACTCTGCTTTGGATGCTCTTAAGCATGGTGAGAGTTTTCCACATGTGTCAGACTCCTGGGTGACCAAAAATAGGTTTATAATGCATAATGGGAGAGATTGTTCCTTTAGTGTCATAATCCAGCCACTGCTTTGTTATGAAAAAATCACCTTATAGGCTGAAGCTTGGTGCAGTGCTGGGCCAGGGCTACAATGTGAGAATTTGTCATTCGGATAAGAAGTCAAACGAGTTCTGTCTGACATCCACTCAAGCAGAGCAGCCAAAGATCCATGCTGCTGTTATGTTTTTCTAGGTGTCCTTGACAATCCTTGAGTATTTGATTATTTGCCTTGTAGGTATTTATGGGATATTTACTGGAACAAATGGCTGTTGTTTTCCTACAAGCACAGTCAGTACACTTGAAAGTAATTATACCGGCAAAGTCCTTTGGAAACATAAGGCCCTAGTCACAATCCACACTTGAATTTTCTTGACTGGAAAGAATAACCACAGGGAAGCTATTGCATGCATATTGCTTGTTCCTTCATGTATGGTTGCAGCCACTTTGTTCATCTGGTGGGTATATAGGCTACCTCCTGTCATTTTCCCTTACATGAAGAGGCCAGTTCACTAAATATATATAACTCTTTGTCGCCGACAATGTGATAACTATCCAATGTCAGTATTCAGGCAGAGGAAATCTTTAGTTAAGTGGCTGTGGAATGTCATGCTTTTAAGTGCTCAATCAGCATGAAAAGTACCAATCCACTTGTGTGAAGAACCAGCTTTATGATCAGATTTTCAGAGGAAAACTACTGTTTAAGATGGAAGGGATACCGAAAATCCCTACTCATGACCATTCCAAGAGGCAATTAGAATATGCGGCTAGTTACTCGTCAAAGTGAAGCAGACCTACCATTATGCTCTGTTTGTCATTATCAACATCTGTTTCTGCAACCTAAACTTCTTCTAAGTTCATCCCAGGATTCCTGATTTCTATGTCAAAGACTTAATGATA